GTGCCCGCACGGCACCCGCACCAGCGTGACAGCTGAGCCACGACGGTGAGCGGAGGCGGTCGTAGCAGGCCACGTGTGACTAGCTCCACTTCCTTTTTTCTTTTTTAGAATTATTATTTTTAAGCGGTTTTTGCCATAGGGCATATGCGCTCACCAGAGAGACAGAGACAGTGAGAGGGAACGTGGAGTCAGCCCAGGGGACGGCCACGCCGCAGCCCCTTCATCCTCCCTCTGGGATCTTGGGCACACAGGCCCAGCGCGAGCTTCACGCCACTGGGTCTGGGACTCAGACCACCGTCAGCCGTGTGGGAGTCCAGTAACATAACTATTATGCCACCTGCTGGCCTGTGGGATTAACTTATCATCATTTAATTTTTTTATAGAGCACATGCACTTGCCAGAGACACAGAGAGACAGAAAGAGAGAAATCACCCCCAGGGAGGATGCCCACGCCACAATCCCTTCTCTTCCATTCTCCTCTCAGGATCTTGGGCACGCACACATATGTGCCCAGCGTGAGTTTTAAGCCACTGGGTCCGGGACTTGAACCACAGTCGACTACATGGGAGTCCAGCGACATAACCATTATGCCATCTGCTGGTCCCCTTATTATTATTTAATTTGACCAGAGAGAGAGAAAAGGAAAGTGAGAAAGCAAGCTGCCAGGTCCAGGACTCAAATAGAAGCCATCCATGTGGGAGTCCTGCATCTTAGCCACTGTGCCACCTGCCGGCCCCATGACTCCACATCTACAGGGTGTTTCCAGAGACAGAAAACAGAATGGGGGCTTCCTGGGGCTGGGGACCATGGCAGGCAGTTCTGGGTGACATTAAAGGTGCATAGTGTTCTCAGTGACATCCCAATGATGGCCACACTGCTCTGCCCCTAGGCTGGGCGCAGGGAATGGGTGGGTCACATGGACATCCATGTTTAACACTTTGAGAAACCACTACCCTGTCCGAGGGGTTGCTGCTGAGCCCCACTCGTGCCCTCCCTCACATGCAGGTATCTTTTGCCCATGACCAGCAGGTAGTGCAGTGGCTACGTCGATGGCCACCCACATGGTCAACCACGGTTCGAGTCCTAGACCCAGTGGCTTCAAACTCACGTCGGTGTGCATGCGTGCCCAAAATCCTGAGAGGAGAATGGAGGTGGGATTACGATGTGGCCATCCTGGGGGTGGCTTTCTGTCTCTCTGGTGTGTGCACACACCCTCTAGCAAAAATCTCTCTTAAAAACAAAACAGAACAAATACCTTTCTCCCAAGTCTTTTCAGTGGAGGCCAGGCTATAGCACAGCGGTAAAGCAGCTGGACCCCGTGAAGAAGGTCTCAGGTTGCATCCCGGGACCCCGACCATGCCAGGTGTGCACACTCCTGCCTGAGGCCTGCCTCTCACGAAAGAAAGAAATACGTTAAATTAGGAGAGACAGAGGGACCGCCACTTGTTGTAATGGCTATGTCACTGGACTCCCGTGTAGTCGACTGTGGTATGAGTCCCAGACCCAGTGGCTTAATCTCAGGCGAGGCACGTGTGTGTGCGCGTGCCCGAGGTCCTGAAAGGTGAAGAGGAGAAGGGATTGCAGTGTGGCCATCCCCCCTGGGGGTGGTTTCTCGCTTTCCGTCTCTCTGTCTTTCTGGCAAGCACATGCGCCCTATAGCAAAAACCTCTCAAAAAAAAAAAAAAAAGAGAGAGAGAGAGAGAGAGAGAGGAGGAAAGCAAGAAATCACTGCAAGCCCTCCTCCTCCAGTCTCCGGACCTTAGGCACACACGCACACGTGCCCAGGAAGAGTTTAAGCTGCCGGGTCCAGGACTCGGGCCAGGGTCAACCACACAGGAGTCCAGCTTCAGAGCCATTACACCAACTGCTGGTCCTGAAAGTCGGGAAATCTCAAAGACAGGCACCAACCCTGTAAGCGACACGTCTTGGAAGGGCGTGACCTGACTGGGGCACGTCTTTCCAGTAAAGGCTTCAGGAATGGGGTTTCTTAGTCTTACAGTCTTAAACCTTTGTTTCGTTTACTTATTTTACTTTATGTAAACAAACTTTTTAAAATAAATAAAGTGTTAAAAAGAAAACCTGTTTATCTATGACAGAGACACACCAGGTCCTGTTGCTGTCACATGCGTCTCTGCTGTACCCAGGGAGGTCTCCAATCTGGGCCCGCACGTGAACCGGCCTCATGGAGCATACACATCCCTGCCCTGCCGCTGTCCGGCCACACAAGGCCTTGGGGCTTTACTCCCAGTCCCTACTCCCGCCAGGTCTCTTTGAGCTTCCCCGTGTAGCTCACAAACACCCGGCTGGTTTAAGTGAATCCGCACTGGGGTCTGCCTGTCCCTGTAGAGGGGTGCTAGAGGCTAGATGCTGGGGCACTGGGAGATGAGGACCCAGGACCCAGGGACAGTCTAGATGGAACTGAGTGGAATAGAGCTCCCAAGGAAACTGCAGGATTGTGACAACTGGGCAAGGCAGATTCGGAGGACTGGGGCTCCTGAGATCCAAGTCCAAGGGGTCAAGCTTCAGGCACAGCTGGATCCAGGTGACCCAGGGTGTTGCCAGGACTCGCTTGCTCTGTCAGTCCTGCCTGCCCGAAGGGCCTTTGCCCCCAGGCGAGTGCGTCTAGCTCTAGGACAGTATTTCTAGCTCTGAGGGTAACCAACACTCTAAGACAGATCTCATGGCTTACTCCACGGCTGTGTGCACTGGGCACATGTGACTGGAGAGTGGGTCCTGCACAAACCCCAGGGTGGTTAGAGGACGGCAGGGGTGCCATGGTTAAGCCCCCACCAGAACCCCCAGTCTCTGCCCTGCAGGGCTCAGGCCAGAGCCTGGGCAGTGCCGCAGGACCCCTGGAAGTGGCAGCTCTTCCCAAGATGGGTGGGGTGACCGGGGGGGGGGGCATTTCTAGGACTGCTGATGCCCCAGGTCAGGGACCTGTCCATGCGTCACACTCTTCTCTGGCAGCACAGGAGGGGGGTGTCCTTTGAATTCCATGGAGTTGGGGACCTCTTTAAGGATCACTGTCCTGGACCCTCACATCAGAAGGGTCTCCGAACAGGGGTGCCCTGCTCCACACTGAGGGAAGGCCAGACTACCTCTAGCCACCTGACCAAAGCATGGTGTCCATGCTGCCTCAGTGACCTGCTCCTGGGGAGAGCGGGGCTGGTCTCGGCTGCTGCCTTCCCACGGGACCTCCTCCCAGCCCTGGAGCTGAGTGGCTCTCTGGGGCAGGGCCTGAACCTCAGGCTTCTAGCCACGTGCTGTCCATGGAGGCGCCGGGTGGCCTGATCTGGGCGCGCCTGGCCTGGGCTCACGTCCTCCCCACCTTGCTACTCTGATTCCTGCCCAGTTGCCCTGAGCACCCACAGGAAGCCTAGGGACTTCAAAGGCAGAGGCTTCCCGACAGCCCAGTTCCTGCCCTGCTGGCAAACAGTTGACTGCCCCTTCTCTCCAGAAAGTCCCGTGTGTCAGGCAGGGCCAGGCAGGGCCAGTTCCTCAGGCCTGAGCCTGGCCCACCTTGCAGATGCATGCGGGCAGAGTGGCGGCCTAGCCCCGGCACACCCTGGCAGGTATATATGGGTAGAGCAGCGGCCTGGCCCCAGCAAGTACACATGGGCAGAGTGGCGGCTGCACCCTGCCTTCGGTCCTCGCCAGTGGAAGGACATGGAGGAGCTGGGCAGTGGCTCCAGCAGCCCCCAGCCTGAGGGTGGGCAGGCCCCAAGGACATGCTGCCCGGAACAAGGGTCAGGAGGAGGGTGTGAGACCAGAGGTCTGGGTACAGGACGGCCCAGCCTCCTGCCAGGACCTCGTCATCAGCTCCACCCACCGGGCCTCTCAGGAATGCACTCTGGCCCCCAAACCTTCAGCCCCTGCCACTCCCCGAGGGAGCAACCTTGTGGAGCCACTCATGTTGGGGCAAGGGCAGCTGAGCTGGGCGCAGGGTCCTGTGCTGTCTGACACCCGGGAGCCGGCCCTCAGGGTGCTCCAGGGGTCCCAGGGGAACAGAGGCCTTCTCGCACCCCCCCCCAGGAGCTCCTCCCACAAGGCGGAGCTGCAAGCAGAGGACCATCAAGCCCTTCCAATACCCTCCTGCAGGAGACCCTCCTGCAGGCCTAGTCAGGGTCAAAGTCGTCTGAAGTCTAGATGGGGCACCCGTTGAGATGCCCAGGGAGGAGCTCCCAAGCCTGGTGGCTGCAGGAACGGGCCCCTTGTCTGGGAGACCAAGGTCTCAATGCCAGGCTAGCTGCTGGATCCAGCTTGGAGTCCTGCCTCCCTGGGAGGCTGCGGGCCTCTCCCCAGCCTCTCCTTACCGCCTGCCCATAAAGCAAATGAGAGAAGCCCAGGCCCTCCAAACCCGCCTGAGTCTCAGCCGCTTTCTCAGCTAAGGCCACTTCCCTTGCACGTGGTTCCAGCCCTCGTGTGGGGCTCAAGAACCACCAGTCCACGCCTGGCCATGGCCAGCACTGAGGCCCTGCCTCCTGCAGAGACCAGAGAGAGCCAGACTGTCCAGGACCAGGGCCACATGCCAGCAGCCAAGGGAGAAGGCCGCAGCACCCAGCCCTCCTGAATAAGAAGCCTGGGCCTTCAGGGGTCTGATCGCAGAAGTGGGCATGGTGTTGAGGCCAGAGGGTCCTGAACTTCAGACCCACCTCTCTAAGTCCTCCTGAGCTCTCTGTGCCCCAGACCCCTGGCCCGATATGCCAGAAAGCTGGCAGGCATGGACTATCACCCCACGTCACAAGGGGCAGGCAGGGACCTAGGCCTGCCACATCCTGTCCTGGCCCTCCTGGGAGAGGCCCTGGTACTCGGTCTGGGTGCCCTGCATGGAGCCTCTGTGCTCTCTCAGGGCAGTTCCAGGAAGCAGTGGAGGTGCCAGCTAGGGCTCCCCATGGCAGAGCTGAGACCCTGGCTGTGTGCAGAGCAGGTGGGACACTCCTGCCCAGAAGCCTGGGGAGAGGCTGCCCCCAGACGGCCAGCAGGGCTCTGGGACGAGCAGCTGCAGCTTACTGAGTAAAACCACTTTATTGTGCAAGCCCTACACGGGAGTAGAGGGCCCAGGGGGCCTGGGGACACGGACTGCTCTTTGGTCCCACCCCGACCAGGCAGCCAGGGTCTCCGGTGGAGTGTGCTGGTGTCCAGGTGCGAGCTGCGTGGGGGAACTTGGTCACCGCAATAGCCTTGGGGTGGGGGGTGGGGGGCAGAGAGAGGGCCCCACTGCCCAGCTCAGGGGCCACACAGGTCCACACAGTCCTGTCCACTGCGGAACACATGGTAGATGCTGGTGGGGAGAAACATGGCCAAAGCGCCGAGCAGAGAGCCCACCTGGATGGCCACGCCAGCAGCCAGCAACGCCTGCCGGCCCCCGTTGTGTAGCAGGGAGCTGGCCGCCACCTTCACGTAGGAGAACACGCCTAGACACAGCACCCACGACAGCACCTGACAAGACACGCAGACCCACAGGCTGAGCCCACGTCCCCGCACCAAGGCGAAGCTTGTCCCCGCTCCAGGCCCACTATACTCACCACAAGGACCACCCCTGTAGAGGTGCCCACCAGCGGTGGGCATGGGCTCAGGCTCGCCAGCACCATCAGGTAGGCCCCAAAGAACATGCCCAGCACAGACAGCACACCCAGCCCTGCCAGTGACCTGCCGGGCAAGCAGAGGCTCAGGGCTGGCTGTGCCAGGACTCAGGCCTAGCCCTCACCCGAGTGCCCCCCACTAAGTGGCTGGGTCCCCCGTGCACCTGCACAGAATGCCCATGGCCAGGAAGCAGGCAAGGGGGCTGGCAGCACTGCCCAGGACCACAGCCAAGTGGTAGGCCAGGCGCCCGTAGGGCAAGCAGGAAAAGCTCTGGACCGCGGGCAGCACGCCATTGGTCAGTGCACTGGTCAGGCCCAGCAGGCCCAGCAGGCTGGCTGCACGGGCTGAGAGCAGCTGGTGGGCCTTAGGGTCTGGGCCAGGGGTGCTGCTCGCTGCCTGGCCTGGGGGCTCCTGCAATGGCGATGCTTCCTCCTCCTGTTCCTCCACTCCTGGGGCTTCCACCTGCCGGCCAGTTGCAGGGTCTCCCGTGGGCACAGGTGGTGGCAACAGCTGCAGGAGACCCTGGAAAGCGGCTGCCGAAGTGACCAGGAGGGCGGTCAGTGCCCAGAAGAAGATGCTAGCAGAAAAACGCTCAGGGAGGTTGAGGGGTGGTCCAGGGGTGCCGTTGGTGGGGGCAGGTGGGCACTCGAGGCGGCCCACGCCCTGCCCCAGGGCCAGTACGCAGGGCAGCAAGGCACTCAGGCCCTGGCCCAGGAAGAATGACCGCAGGAAAGGAGGCGGCAGGCGGCCCAGGAAGGGCAGGAAGGTGACGTTAGAGGCACAGCAGGCCAACGCCAACACCAACGTCAGCGCCAGGAAGGCCACAGAGTGAAGCTGCCCTGCCACGGGGACCACGTGGTGCCACAGAGGGGCCAGCAAGGCTGTGCCCACCATGCACAGTGCCTGCACCACCTGGATGGGGACCCTCTCGCCCTTGCCCGGGGCCAGCCGCCTCCACAGGGTGACTGCCAGCAGACCCAGGTTCCCCATCGCCACCAGCACAGACAGGTACGAGGGGAGGCTCCAACCTGCAGGGAAGGATGAGTCAGGGCAGGCCACCGGGGACGGGAGAGCCCACCTTCCCGGGCATGCCACCACCCACTTGGGTCCCACTCACCTTCCGGAAGGTCTTTTACCACCACGGGCAGCTCCACCCAGATCCCGTTGACCGCGGCCCACGAGCCCATGCCAAAGAGGACCACCAGCAGGTGGGTCAGCGCCAGCCGGCCGAGCGGGCGTGCTGCCATCCAGGACAGAGCGGAGGATTGCAGCTTCTTCCTCACTTAAGTCTGAAGACGCCTCGGCTTCCTAGGACTGCAGACTCTCCCAGCCTGAGGGAAGAACAGAGGCCCAGCCGACCAGGCTGTCCAGGAACCCGGGCGCGCATGCCAAAGAGGACCACCAGCAGGTGGGTCAGCGCCAGCCGGCCGAGCGGGCGTGCTGCCATCCAGGACAGAGCGGAGGATTGCAGCTTCTTCCTCACTTAAGTCTGAAGACGCCTCGGCTTCCTAGGACTGCAGACTCTCCCAGCCTGAGGGAAGAACAGAGGCCCAGCCGACCAGGCTGTCCAGGAACCCGGGCGCGCAGCCGGCAGAGGTGGGCGGGGCGCCGGCCAGGCCGGGGGCCACGACGCAGCGTCGGCGACCAGAGGACAGCGCGAAGCGGGTGCAGCCGCTCTACCTGTGCGGGACCCGGGCCGAGGTCCAGAGCCTCCACGCTCCCGCAAGATGGACCCTGAGGCCGGAGCCCTCCCGCGATCCCAAGTCTGCAAGAGGCCGGCTCGGGGGCGTGGCAGGGGGGACACCGCACCTCGGGCTTCAGGACACGCCCGGTGCACCCCGCGGCCCAGGAGCGCGGCCCCCGACCAGCGCCTGCAGCCTGGGTTCCGCCCGCCAGCTGCCAGGACTTCAGCTCGCTCGCCTGCCCCGGGACGCCGCCGGCCCTCC